CCCACCCCGCGTCCCCTTGGTCCAACCCTTCCTCGCGTTGCCAGGGAGGGGGCCCCGCTCTGGCCTCTCCTCCCGCCCATCTCCAGCCCCGGTTTCTCGTAGCCCCCAAACCACAACCGGATCCAGCCCTTGCCCCGTGCCCTCCCCTTTCTCCCAAGGAGGCCCACAGTCCCCAGTGGGACACTGCACAACTCCCCCCCCGAAAGCCAGCCTCTCCCACACCACTGAGGAGCCATTTGATTTGGTGACACCCATCCAGAAAGGGACTCCCCTCACTGCTCAAGGGAAAAGAACCCCCTCCCTTCCCCCCAGATTCAAGCCGTTCAGCCTCCCAAGGAAAGGAGAGCGCTGCACCCACTGCGTCCTGGGTTTATTTACACTGCAACCTCTGTGCAGGCAGGCAGGGAGGGGCGCTGGGCGGCCCCCCCAGGGCCGGTGTGGAAGGAAAGGCAGGCAGCGAGGCAAGGTGGCACCAAGGTGGCACTGGCAGCAGCGCAGGGACAGGAACGGGCAAGCAGGGCCCAGGCAGGGCTCTGGCTCCCTCAGCACTACAAAGGCAAGCCCCTGGAGAGGACAGGGGCTAGGGGAAGAGGCAGGGGTCACTTTTAGCAGCAAAGGCCTCACTTCCCTCCAGGACAGCAGAGGGGACGGTGGCATGTGATGGAGCCAGACTGGTGTGTGGCCAGTTAAACCAAAAACAAAATGAAAGAAGGCAGAGGAAGAAATGAAGAAACATGGAGAACAGCTCCTCTCCTGCCCTCCAGAGTTAAACCAGGGCGGGGGTGGTCGGGACATGACTCCTCCTTCCCTCCTCTCAGCAGAGCAGCAGCTCCAGGCACAGCCTTTCCGGGGTGCCCAGCCCCGGCGCAGGGCAGAGTCCCCAGCCACACACAGCACCGGGCTCCCTTGCTGTCCCTCCGCCCAGCCCGGGAGGGGAGAGCAGTTCAGGTTTCTCGATGGCATGGCTGACGGTCCATGTGGGCAGCAGCGCCCTGGGCGCTCTGCCAGGCACAGTTGGGATGGATGCCGAGGCGGCCGAGCTTCGCGCTCCGGCCCTCGGTGCAGTCTGGCTCCCGCCTCACTTATAGGAAACCCTCCTTCTGAAACTGCTCCTTCAGGATGTCTCTGTACTGGTCAAAGCCGCCCTCGATGCGGGTCACGGTGGCATTCTCGCACACCCACAGCTCCTGGCACACCAGGCGGATGAAGCGCTCATCGTGGGACACCAGAATTATACCACCCTGCAACACACAAAGCGGGGAGAAAAGGGAACTGAGTGGAGCTGGTGGCATGGGGACCCATGTGCCTGGGCCCAGGACTTCACGCTCCCACCTGCTCCAGGGAAACCTCAACAGTGCTTCACAGGCAGGGACCTAATCTGACAACCACAAGGATGGAAATTTCAGGTGCAGTCAGTGGTGGCTGGACAAGGCCCCAAACAACCTCAATTAAGCTTTTCTTTCACAGGAAAACTGCCCCAGCTTGGGCAACTATCAACCTGGTTCTCACTGGTTATCACAGAGGTATCTGTGTCTTTGGAGATCAGCCATAATATGCGTCTAGGGAAGAGGTGAGAAGGCCCCAAGGCAGGGCTGAGCACTGCATGCAGCACGTGAGAAGTCTCAGGGTGCAGGTGACTGGCCGAAATGGGGGACAAGGTGCTCTCTGGTCTGCTGTTGCCTCTCTTGGCCACCCCTGGCCAAAGCTAGCAAGTGAAACAAACCACCAGGATGGACAGCTGAGGCCGAAACGCAACTGACTCTTCCCAAAATCTGCCCTGGACTCAAAGCCACCATTGGTATTTGAGTGGCCACCTCTGGCCAAGACACCAAGTCACCTGAGCTGGAGGCTGCGGGGAGCATTAGCAAAACAGGAGATCTTGCCAAGGGAGCCTTACCCGAAACTTATTCAGTGCCTTTGCCAGCGCCTCAATGGTCTCCATGTCCAGGTGATTTGTGGGCTCATCCAGGATGTAGAAGTTTGGACTGGAAGAGAAAATGGCCCTGAGCATGCGCTGAAGGAGGCTCCAGGGATGGAGCCACACAAAAATTAACAGCGTCCGGGAGAAAATTACCAGGACATCGTCATTTGGGCGAAGGCCACGCGACTCTTCTGACCCCCGGACAGGCTGGCCACAGGGCGCACAGCCAGCTCCCCTGAGACGCCGTAGCTCCCCAGCTGATGCCGGTACTCCTCCTCCGTCTTCCCTGCAGCAGCGTGTCACAACACGGCTATGGCACACGTGCAGTGACACAGGGCTCGCGGCACCATGAATTTGGTGGCCACCATGGCCAAGAAGCCTGTGCCAGAATGGCACGGTGGGGCAGGGATCCGGCAGCTGCTTCCCAAGCAGGGGGTTTGTGGGGACAACCAGACTGACACAATCAGGACAGGAACTGCAGGGCTCCCAGTGATGCTGGCCCCAGTTCCCTGTTACCATGTTATGTGACGTGGACATGGGAGCTGGAGGTTTTGGCAGCTGGGAAAGGGGGTGGTGCTCGTGCTGTGCCC